AGAAGAGGATTTTTTCTGCTTCAAGGAAGGCAAATGATAAGTAATATTTAGATATTTGTGAGAAGATAAGTTTGGCATTGTCATCTTAAATATAGAAAAGGTCAAAGTATGTAATTACTTGGACCAAGTAATTAGTAAGTATAATATTTTGAGTAATAAGGTCAATTGCTTGTTTTTTTAGAAAAATCAGAAATGTTGTAATTATTAGCTGCTATATCTTGGTAGATTTGCAGATATTGGTAGAAGTAAAAATTGTAGCGGCCTTTGCTAAAGGTAGTAGAGTATTTTTTGCAAATTTGCTATTCTGCTTCATCTGCAAGTTTGTTTAGGGTTTTTGTTGAAATTGGTTTTTGAAAAGTGGCTGAATATTTGTTATCAATATGAAAAATAGAGAGATCGATTGAGATAATAGGTGAGTTTTTATTTGCTTGAATAGGATAATGTTTGTCAAATTCTTGTTGAATAGCTTGGTGGAGGTTAGATATGTTGTGTTTGCTATCTTGAATGTAAGAGCAGTCTTTGTGAGTACAAGTAAGTATATAGTAGTTGAGAAATTACTTGACAGAATTTATAATATATATGTATATATTTGTACTATAAACTATTTTAATATATAATGCTTGACAAATAGTAAAACTTTCATTATTAACAAATTACAAACAAATAATATGAGTAACAATCTTTATATTAAAAATAAATTAGTCTATATAAGTTAATTTTTGTTCGATTATTATATTTATCTTTTTTTTTTTGACACTTATTATTATTCAACATTATCTTGAAGATATTAATTACTATTAGATCTAATGAAAAAACTTATTATAGTAATATATAATAAAAAAAAATTACCAACTTTATTATATTAAGTAAAACTAAATTTAGCCTTGTATAATTTCTTATAAATTTAACTAAAGCATATTTGGAAGTTAATATAAAGAAGCTTGCTAAAGATTAAGGATTATTTTATAAACTCATACATCTAAAATAATATTCATATATATATACATATTTGGATTAATATAAAATAAATGTTTTTTTATATTAAAGTAATTAATATAATATATTGAGCACTATACAAATAATTCTAAGAGAAAGATATAGGAAATTAAAATTTTGGATTGTTTATCTTTTGTACTGTATAATATATAGTGCTATATATATTATACATACAGTATATATATATTAATACATTATTTAATAAGTTTTATTTATCGTTATATACCTTTTATATGCAAAAAAAAGATATAAAAAAGAAAAATTAAATGAATAACTATCAAAATTTTAGATTCAATGGCATCTTTAAAAAAAACTAATCTTACTAATGATCAATGCAAGCAAATTTGTTTGCACAAACAACAAAATTTGACTATTACTCAGAGTAAGCTTGCAAAATGGGCTAAAAAAAAGTTTGGTCTTAATAATACACCTAACCAAGAAACTTTTTTACATATTCTTGGGCAGAAGGATAAGTATCTTGCTATAGAAGATGAAAGAAGCAAACAGCAATAAAATGTACTTCAATCACAGTTAAATACAGTATTGGCTAACTGAGTTTTACAATATTAGGCTAAAGGTGTTTTTTTAACAGGAGAATTAATATGAGAAAAAAGCTAAAAATTTGCACAACTTCTTGATCTTGATTCTTCTAATATACCTAATTTTTCTGTTGGTTGGCTACTTTTATTTGAAAAATATTATAGCTTCAAAATATATAAAAGTCATGAGGAGAGTGGATCTGCAGACAACAATGCAATAGAAGAATATTTACTTTTTTTTTTTTTTTAATATTAAAGGTAAGACCATGCTCTTATCTTTATTAAACTTAATGAAAACCTTTTACATTATTGGAAAAGGTTTTATAATTTAAGCTTATTGCTAAG